TTTTTTAACTTTTATTTTTCAATTACCCTTACCATTCCATATTGTATTAGTTTCATGTGCACAACGAAATGATCAGACATTTACATATCTTACAAAGCGGCCATCCTGGGGAGTCTAGTCCACACCTGGCACTGTGTATGGTTATTACAATGTTACGAACTAGATTCCTGATGTTGTACTTTATATCCTCGTGACCATTTTTATAACTGGCAACTTGTGCTTTGCAATCCCTCCACCTTTTCACTCACCCCCTAACTCTCCTCCCATCTGGCAACTATCAATTTGTTCTTTGTCTCCTAGAATTTGTTTTTGTTTTGTTTCTTTCCTCCTTTTGTCTTTTAGATTCCACATGTAAGTGAAATTGCATGGTATTTGTCTTTCACTGTCCACTTATTTCATTTAGCATAATTTCAGTTGCTTTTATGACATTTTCTCCTGAAATCTCTCCCATCTCCCTATTTAAATTATAGAGCCTCCAGTTGAATAGATTATTGCAGGGTTTGACAAGTGTTGTGTTTCCATACTCTGTACTTCTATTCACGTGTCCAGTACTGAAGTGTCTGCCCAGCAGAGCATGGCCCGTGGCTGGGTGGCGACCAGGTGAGGCACTGGCACAGATGGAAGATCATGGTTGCAGACTGATGCTCCTTCAACCTTCTGCAGGCCTCAGGTTTCTCTGAGGGTCTCTGGAATGCCTCTGGGGGTGGCAATCGGGAGTGAAAGTGGGCAACTTTCTACCCCCTGCCTCATTTAAACCAGGGAAGCTTTACTCTTAGCTATCTAATATGTAAGAGCGGGCATGGAATTTTACTGGGGCTAACAAAAGGTCATAGGTCTAAAGAAAGAAACATTTGACAACCACTTGTAGGGTAGAGAAAACCTATAAGCGTTAGAATAAGACAGTGAAAGGCTGGGTCCTCAGTCGGCCACTATCAACCTTTCCTCACTGTGGGCAAGTCATTTAATCTGCCTAGGGGACTCCAGAAAATGGGCCTAAATCTTACTTTGTAGGGTTATTGTGATGATTACTAGAAATATACGTATTTCCAGCACCATGTGTGGCTCGTAGAAGCTACTTGATAACAAGACATTATTTGTATTTGTGTTATTATTGGAAAAAGTTCAGTGACCTTCTGAGAATATGTCAGTATTACCATTTTAATGTATGACAGAATATTCATTTATTATGACAGAGCTTTTCTTAGAAAAAGAAATCGTTTCTCCATTTCTATTTTATTCGGGCCAGGAGTCATGTTAATTAATTTGTCGGGTTAGTGGTATATAGCAGATTTAAACTAAAACATAACGTGAGCTACTGAGACGAGACAGGCATTGTTAATCCTGTGACTCAATTTCATGGGTGGAGCCGGCGTTCGCTGGCTGTTTCTATTTTTGATTATGTTCCGTAAGAAGCAGCTAATTTTAGACTGTAGTTTCAAACCTTTCAAGTGTCGTGAAGCATTCTCCTTTGATGTGCTGTATTCCCCTTTGTGCTCTCAGCACCTAGCCCTGCGCCTGACACGAAGCAGGTGTCGTGCAGCCCTGGGCGGATGCAGAGTGTGGCCTGGACTGGAAGCTGCACCAAGAAGCAGACTTGACTTGGCTGCGGACTAGTGAGGGGAAGAGCTGTTGGCCTGGGAAAGTGAAGTCTTGTTTGGTGAGGCGACTGCATGACATGGAAAGTAGGTACCAAAATATGTAGTTCTGGAGGAGTAAAGCAAGAACTTAGGAAAATAAACATGATGCTCTCTGGCTAATAAGAGTATTTCACCGATGAGAGAGAGCCTGTGCTCCGCCGTGACTTGTAGGACACAGGGTGTCCAGGAAGCAGGTCAAGCACACTGTCCAGACGCATGAGCAGTAAGGTCCAGCACGGGGATTGAGAGCGGGCTAGCTCAATGCTGGCCTTGGGCACTGGTACCCTATGTGATAAGTTCCCTCTTTAGTGAAATGTGGATAATCAAGCCAACTTAGTGGGATAAGGTGTGGGACTGAGGAAGCTCATTCACATAAAGTGATCTTTTAAAAATATAAATCAGATCATGCCATTTGCTACTGACACCAGGTCAATGGCTTCCCGTGTGTTGAATAAATCCAGTTCCTTTCAGTGTCCTGCAAGGCCTTCCCAATCTGGCCCCTGCCCACCTTCCCAGCTTCACTTCAAACCACATGTCCTCTGTCACTCAGCTCCAGCCACACTACCTCTCAAGTCCAGGAGCCACTTTTGTCCCCAAGTCTTTGCCCCTGTTCAGGGCTCTCCCCTCAGCAACTTCTGTGTCTGCAGGGCCTGGGCTTCCTTTGACTCTCAACTCCAATGTCACCTCTTCAAAGAGGACTTCACAGTCCACCCTATTAGATCCCTTGCTTTATTTCCTTCAGAATGTTTAGATTTTCTGAGATCCTGGTCATTTATCGTTTATGTTTCCACTATTGCTCTCCCAGATGAAGGAGAAAACTCCTTAAGCACAGCGGATGTGTCTGCCTGTTTTCCACCGCGTCCGGAGCCCGGCACAGTGCTTGGCACAGACCACGTGCCCAGGGGGACCTGCCAGACAGATGCAGGATCGAATGAACGGGACAGACTGGAGCTCGGCCGGTGTGCTGTGCTTACCTGAAATTGTACTGAGCAGTATCACGGGGCACTTTATGACTGCCCTTTTAGCTCTTTCAGAATAGGGAAATGATTTATACTTAAAAAATTACAGCATAGAAAAATATATGCATACATGTAAAGGATTATTTGTTATAATTTGGAAGAAAAATGGTTTCTTTTGATTTTACTTATATGTGGAATCTAAAAAAAAAAAACACAAGCGAATAAATAAAACAAAACACAAACAGACCCATACAGGGATCCAGAGAACAGACTGATGGTTGCCAGAGGAGAGGGGTGTGGGGCCTGGGTGAACAGACATACACACATACATAAATACACACACACACACACACAAACAAACAAACAAACAAATAAATAAATAAATAAACAAACTTAGTACTGTACTTATCAGAACAGTCCCGCAAGAAGAACACATAAAATGGAAAAGAACTGGGTTTTTACATGTTTCCATCTGCAATGGGAGGGTAGGCTGGAAATTTCTCTGTACCTGCCTGCAGGGTTATACTGTAAATATCTGTTCACACAGAACATCGGAGGGTCCTTTCTCTCTAACCTGGACAGGGTGTTTGTAACTTTCTTTCAATTTGGATACACACAATACATCGTTGTACATAAATAGACATTCAACAGTTCCAGCAAAATTCCTACTGCCAAAGAGAAGAAAAACGTCAGAGTAAGCTGTAAAAAAAAAAGTGCTTGGTTTTTAAAATATAGAAATGGCAATTCGCAGCATTTATACAAATTGCCGTATACTGAGGGTTGCAACTCTGAGAGGGAATTGTAAGAAAAGTTGCAGCTAAGAGCATATCTGAGGACACTTGTTTTGAAAGTAAAGGCTTAGTCAGTATTATAGCATTCTGGCAATCTGCATATCATTTACCAGCGTGCTTTGTATCGGAATTGAAATTTTTGTATCGATTTTCTTGGATAAAATGCTTTGACTAACACTACTTAAGATGCTCAAAAATAAATTTATCTTGGTTGAAATCTTACTTCACTTTTCAAAAATCCCCCTTACATTTTGGGCATACCAGTCTGAATAATATCAGTAGGAGTATTTAACCCAATGGCTGGATGGATCTAGTATATTTCTGCTATAATTTTACACACATTCTGTGAATTCTATAAATACACAGAAATGCGAGATTGGATCAGCAGAAAATATATATAGCTTCGAAAAGTTAGAAATGAGAAAGTACGAGATCCATAGTGAGAGAGTATGGGGGACTAGAAATTTTAAGGTTAAGTAAGAAGTATTAAGTTTTTCTACAATGCCATACCTTCGAAGTGGAATAAAATTTGTGTTAGGCTACTGGCACACAGAAATACCTTACGTATGTATATTTGTGCTCTTTTCTGTTCTGCCCCAGTACAATCAGCATATGTTTTCCCCTTCCAAAACCTATGTTATAGAATTAGTTGTCAGTTGTCAGAAGGGGCATGGGTATCTGTGGATCACAGAGAAAGTATTCTTCGTGGGTGCATGGAATGAAGTCCAGAGCCCCAGGACACACTGAGCCAAGTAACAGCCCAATTTGGACTTGAGATGACATACTATCAAGCATCTATAAATACAGCCCTGTCTCTCTGAGGTTACCTCCCTGAGAAATCTAAAAAGGGAACTATATCTTTAATAACCTGAGACCAAACAGTCAGCTGTTGAGTATTTTTAACAGAAAGAACTAGTGTTTAAGATATTTTATATTTTACTTTAGTTTTTAAAAATATATTGATTTTTAGAGAGAGAGAAAGGGAGGCTGAGAAACAGAGAAACATTACTGTGGGAAAGAAACATCAATTGATTGCCCTCCATATGTCCCAACCAGGATCAAACCCACAACCCAGGTATGTGCCCTGACTGGAATCAAGCATGCAGCATTTTGCTGTATGAGATGATGTTCCTAACAACTGATCCAAACCATATTTTAATGCATAAAATATTTTTAAGTGGCATTTTCACTTTCAAATAAAATAGTGCAGTTTTTTTTAGGGTGTGGGAAGTAGGCTTGCATCCTAATGGTGTTGTAATAAGGCCAGGATTTGACAGTTGGCATCTCCACGGCAATGAAGGGCGATGAAGGAGCAGGCAGTTTAACATGGGGATATAGAGAAATAGAAAGTTGGCTGAGGATTAAGAATGTGTTGTGATTAATCCACAGGTGGAAACTATTTCACAGAAGGCCCAGAGGATGCTGCTCTTGTCTTTTAAGTATGAACAAACATTTCCATAACATATAACTATATTGCTTTGTTTAGGATTTAGTGTTTTTCAACAAAGAAGGTTGTGCAGAAATGCGAAAGTGATCTTGTATGCTTCCAAATGACCACCACCGTCTGCAAGAAGATGCCTACAATCTGACAATACTGTACAACTGAATGTTACCTTGGATACGAGGCTGGCTCTGTAAGCTGCCAGTTGCTTCAGGTACTCTTTCTTTGCAGCCTCGGTTTTCTTTTTATAGACCTGTGACAATGACAAAGAGACTTAAATTAGAAAGTGCATCTGCTTTTGTTTCCAGCTCAGTACAGTGCGGAATGACAACTGCACACACAGAAACACACAATTACATTATGTAACAATAGATACCTCCCCAAAGATTGAATTCTCTTAGTGAAACAGGTTTTTAGGAAGTATGGCAATAGGCTAGATAAGAAGATTAACAATAATAACATTTTCCGTTTTATGTAAAGCACATGAAAAGATTCATCTGGTTTACTGGGCGACTGGAAGTAGTTGGCTTAGAAAGACACTATTGGCAAAGGCTCCCAGGGAGACACACGTGAGCAAAGAATACATTCATACGACGAGCAGATAATTCTACAGTGCATTCAAATCCTGATATATATGTTCCATGTAAATGTAAAAATGAGGACAGAGTTCAAAGATAGCCAATGATGTTCAGTAAGTAAATCCAGGGAACGATAAATTGGTAGGTTCATCAGAATTTTGAGATTTTGAGCCTTGAAGTTCGATTTCAAAGACTCGGGACTTGGCCATGGCAGTGGGACACACTTGGGGGTGGACGGGGCCCTGGCGGCCGAGGACTGCGCGCACGCCGGCCACACAGCCTGTGCTGGTCGGGTCCTGTCCCGCTGAAACGGCGGACAACCGGGATCTGTGGGCTCCGCATTGTGAACCGGTAAAAATGTTCAGAAATGAATTTCAGTAGCCAGCAGTTTTCATTTTTGGGTGGGAATTACCTGGAAATTTAAGTAAAATCATCCTAAATTGAGCAAAAGCACTAAAAAATGACTCGCTGCTATGCTAAAGGTCACATCACTAAGTTAAACAGGGAGGCGCGGTCAGAGGCGAAAACCAAGGACTGGCAGAGGGAACTCGCGTGGCTGTCCGCTACCACGGCGCCGACTCTTTCAAGCCTTCGGTCTGTCTCTTTGTTTTCACAATCTCTCGAAATCAGCCTTAAACAACAAAATATTTTCCATCATTTACTGCGTAAATAGAAGTGTATTTTTATCAACAGCTATTTTAAATTTGCCACATCTTGAATTTCACAGCAGGATGAGGCTTGGCTAGTACTTTGTAATGCTGAGCTGAAAAACACACAAAGTACCGAAAAGTGGCTTTGGGATCAGAGTAGTTAAATGTAAATTATGTCTAAAGACCTGCCGAAGTCCACCACGGAGGTCGATTTATGGCTTTTAATGCTGAAGGGGTTCTACTGAGCCCAGTCTCCAACTGTGAAACGCAAGATGAGAGAAATATTATTTACTCATGAATATTTTAATTAAAGCAGAACGTTTTACTTAAGGTAAACAAATGACTGACCTTGTCAACAGAATGACAAAGGACCCTATAAAATACATGTGCGAATCATTCCATTCTTTTAGGGAGGTCTTCAGCCTAGACTTTTATACTTGGCATTTCGATATAATGGTAGGTGATTATAATAAAGCAATTGAGAATTCATATGATATTATCATGTAATCATTGTTCCATCTTTACTAAATATCAAACTCAAGAGACTTAAAAGTTTTTCTTTTTAAATAAAGACCAATAAGTCCTTTGGTTTTAGTAAAAGAGTATTCTAAATTTACTGAGCTAATTACGGGAAGTCAAATGCAGATACTTTTTTGGAAAATTTGGATGTGAAAACAGATCGGTGCAAAGGTGCAGCAAATGCCTTTGAATGGTGTGCCCCATGCGTATTACAGGCCCTGGTTCAGCCACAGTCAGAGAATCAAAGGTCTCCTGCTTTTTATGTTTGTTTTTTTTTTTTAACCTTGAGAGACAGATTGCTATTTCTAGTTTTCCCCTCAAGCACCTCCTCCAAGACATAACTTATGATTAATAAGTTTAAACTGACATTATTTACATTTACTTTTAATACCTTAAAATATTTCTAGAGGATTTCCTCCCACACAGATAGAAATCCCATTCAGGCCTTTAAAACAAATGCTTAGTAAATACTGAGTATTTTTTATGGTAATACACATTTGTATGCTCAAAGCACTTACATCATGTTTTTATCAATATGCCACTCTAACCGACTCCCAGGTAGCTAACTGGGGTTCGCTGAACTTCCAAAGGCAAATCTAATGTGCTCTGGTCCACAGCATTGCCCAACCATCATTTTCTCAGTAGCAGCGTATGCGGCAGTATTGCCAGATGGCCTCATTGTAGCATCTACCACCTTTCTTGCATTTGGTATCTACTGAAACAGCAACAGTGTGGCTGGAGCCATCCCTTTGTTGGGCTCCCAGTAGCCAACATCCCACAAAGCGTTAACTCTCCTAAAACTTGTTGATTAACCGCCACAGGAGAAAGGTGGCTAACAATGAATTTCAGGCTGAATGTGCCCCCTGCTTTCACTTGGGGATCAATGTCGTTATGGGATGCCTGACTAGCATTCAGAGTGCCCTGTTTTCTACAAATGGCTCCCTATTGGCTATTGACAATTAGCTATGTGGGATCATTGCACAAGTGCCTAAATACCACTTTAGAAAAGAGTAAACTCATCATGTCACATTATATGGATTGATGGATTCGCTCTTTCCTGAACAGCTGCAGATGTTTGCAGGGAGGATTCAAAGGGCAGTGATTTCGGGAGGTATAATTCTGTCATTGTGTTTAAAGGGGAGTGGCCCAGATCAGGATTAAAATCTGAGTCAACTTTCTTCAGCAGTGGTGTGGGCCCTCCACCTTTGAGGACTATCTGATGGTTCCAGTGTTAGATACTGCTCTGTCTTTCTGATGAGCCCTTCTAATGTTTTACAGAGATGCTTTTTCAATTCTTTCTTTTGCTGGAAATGTTTCAAGAAAGATCTCAAATGTATGAGAGAATGATAGAAATATGTACATATTCAACATGTAGGTGAGGTGGGGGAAATTCTTACTTTAGAACAGGTACATAAAAGTCATCAGTAAAATATTCCTCAAAACTGTTTCAAAGCCTCTGTTCACGGGTGGAGAAAGTCTGCTCACAGAGGCCAACGGTGAGGCCAACTGCCCTTGGCAATGAGCTGCCCACTGCAGTGATCAAACCTTCTAATCTAGGAGGATGGGTCTGATTTATGTCAAATTTAAGTTTGGGAAAGAAATGGTCTCTCTCTCTCAGGGAAAGACAAATATTTTAAAGTTATGTGATTCATACAGTAAATATTAGTACTCAGTTGAGCTACAAAATGGCTTCCAAATGGTCTACAGCTGTTTGAAATAAAGTGCAAAGTTGGCCAGATGGGGATTTAAAAATCATAATACATCATTTATCATTTTTCCCTAGCTCATCCAAACACTTTTGAATTCATCCTGTCCTTAGTTATGTGCTGTGGTTTGTTATTCTAAGAAAGCTACCATATCCCATCTAAGGATTGCATCTCAGTAGTTAAACTAAAACATATATAATGGCTAAACTAAAACATACGTAGATAGACATCAAATAGAAATGCTACAGAATCCATATCCTGTTCATGTAATTGAGTGATTCACTGAATCATTTTTGAAATGCTCTAAATACCAGCAATACACATATTTTTACAGGCTAATTACCCCTAAATAAAACCAGGAGTTCAATATCGGTGACTATAATAAACTCAAATAGAAAAAATTCTAATACAATCTGTCATTTGGTTCTTTTGCTTTTTTGCTCTTTACCCAAACAATCCATTCAACTCATACAAAAAAAAAAAAAAAAGTAAACTCTTATAAATACCATTTAATTCCTTCTTCCTTCCTTCTTTTCTGCTCAGGCCCCTAGTTAATCTCTAGTCATAGTTTATTTCAACCAAGACTTTACAGTAACAATAAGAAAAAAATATATAATTCTCCCAATGTTGTATTCCATTCAAACCCTAAAAAATATTAAAAGGCATTTTTTGAGGTTGACTTCAAATGCAGTTTTCTTCCCACACTACGAGTTCATATTTATAGAAAATGCTTGGAAACACAGCTATATATTAGAAATAATAATTTAACCACAGTTTTCTGCCATATCCTTTAGAAATTAATGTTTGCAGCTTCTTTCAATGCTATTATTATTTAGGACAGTTAAAAAAAGCTCATCTGTATTTTATATAGAACTCAGTCCTCAAATGCAGTTAAATTTCCATCTTGTGTAACTTGCTCAGCATTTTCTTAAGCATTCCAGAACTCAAAAAGAACTTTAAAAAGTAGTATTCAGAGGCCTGAAAATACTATACAACATGAAAAAAATGTTGCTATCGGTTCTTGTCGGGAATACCTGAACACGGTTCTGGAAGGCCTACCTAGTAATGGCGTGGCCTGTTTCCGGAATGGTAGGTATCATTCCAGAAGCAAGCCCCTCTTCCAGAAAATAAAAAAGGCTACAAAATACATCTGTTCATTTATTGGATGCGGTTGACTGTGGCGAGTACGATGTCATTCAGTTGCATGTAATAATATACTGAGTGTCTGACAGATGCCTGCTGTGGTGTGAGGCCCTGGAGCTGCCGGGTGAAAACAGGCATCAGAAACATGCCCACACTGTGTGCATTTTTCGTGTTAAGCACTTTATATACTTGTATATCGTCTTCAGTTCTGTCAACAAGAATGTTGCCATTGTTTTTATCATTTCCATTTCTACAGACAAGAAAATAGACTAGAAGAGATAGTCATTTTACCCAATAGCTTACAGCAAGTATGGCAGATCCATAGCGTGAATCAAAAAGTTCCGCTTTTGTTTATTCAATGGCTCCTCCTAGCGGCACAAGTCCCTTGATGCCTTTCTAAGACGCGGCATCTCAGGGGCCTGAACTCTCTCTCTCACTCTTTTTTTTTTCCTACAGCTGAAGCCCCAGGACACAGGGTAGTGCTTGGTATATAGTAGGTGCTCGGGAAAAGTCATGATTGAGGGTAGAGTACTTAGTCTCAGCTTTTTCCTTCTATGAGTCAGTACAAGGGCAAGTGCTCATCAAAAAGTACTAAATTGCATCTTCCACATCAATGGAAATAGAGATTTCGATATACAGATATACAACCTACCCACC